TATTTTCACCATTACGATATCTTTCTTAAAACAAAATACTAAGCAGTTTCTGGAAAACAAAAATTCTGGACCAAATTATAAAGAAAAACTTAAAGGTGAAGAAAAAAATATCAAAAATGTAGAAGATGATGAAGAAAGAGTGAAAATCTATATCAGATTTTTGAATTTTAAGACACAAAGTATGTTATTTTATTTTTAAAATGTTATTTATAATTAGGTATGACGTGAATAAAATGTTTTGGTACTATCTTTGTATCACTGCAGGTGCTATTTAAAATTGTTGCACACACTTTAAAATATAACATAAATAATATACTCTTATGTAGTTTTAACACTAAACAATCAATTATTAATTATAAAATTAATTCAACCAATCACAAAAAATACTATAAAATTCAAATAATCACAATAAATAAAAAGATATTAATTATTTACCTAGATGTCATTTCATGCTACTTTGGATGAGCTATTGAGTTTGCTTATATCCCTAAATCTCTGTTTCAGTGTTGTTTTCTTTATATTTATCACTTTCTCGGCCAATCCAACAAAAGAAATATAATTCATACAAATAGTGGAAGAGAACCAACCACTAAGCTTTTAATATCGGTCATAAGTAATAACAATTTGGTTAACTGAACTGAGAACCTATAGCACATAATTTGGTCAACTGAACTGAACTGGGAAAAGTAAACCGGTAGAGAGAGCGAGTCAGACTGACGGAAATAATCCAACGCGGGAAAAAGAAAGCCCCCACATGGAATAATCCAACTTAGTCCACATTTCCAATAGCACACACTGCTTGAATTATTGACCGTACACGCTTTGGCAAAGACACTGCACCTTCTAATATACAATACAACCAAAATAAGAATCATGATAGTAAAAACCACACAAAGCCTTCTCTTTGAACTCAACACATGATTGTGTCAAAATCACGCGAAAATGGGATTCCGTGCAGACTGATTCGTAAACCGATGATGGATGATGATAGGCGAGTGTTCGACGTTACAGTAATTCAAGGAGAAAGCATCAGTAAGCAGACGATAGAGGAATGGTATACACAACAAAAGTCTAAATCTATGAGCTTGGATTCGGTAAAATGTTAAATTTTTTCATTGATTATATAATTGGCTAAATTATAATCTCCTTTACTGAAAGAAAAGAGTATGTTTAATTGAATAAAGAACATACAAATTGTCCCATATCTTTTTGTACAGGATTATTTCAGCCATTCTAA